AAATCATTCGGAGCAAAAACACGCAGGTTCAAATCAAACAATAAATTATCAGCATTTATAAGCAGATATACAGCATTTATAAGCAGATATAACGAATTATGTCTTAGTAATAAGGCATGATCAGCATTTATAAGCAAATATAAAGAAAATATATAATCGAGAAAAAATAAGACAACACCTACCCTCACCCTTTAACCAATCGATACCATATGCTCTAAACCATCAACACCTTATAACCTACCCATATACCATATACTCTATACCATCAACAACCTAATACCCTAAGCAGTCAGTACCCATTTCCTCTAACATCAACACCTTATACAACAATCGTATACCTATACGCTGATAAAATTTTACATTTTGAAAATACTTGTCCAACTAAAGTACATAGGTACTTCAAAAGTGAAACTCTAACTTTCGTTTCAAAACATAAATTCAAAAAATATCCTCACTCAGTATCCAACCACAAGCCTCTAATTAGTCTACAAGAGGTTTGTTATGTACGAGTGCATTGCATAAAGAGGGGAAATCGGTGAGAGAGTGGAATGGGATCTCAATTAATGAAGAGTTAAATTGGGCGGATTGTAGTTTACCTCGTACCGCTAAATGTGTAAAGAGACACGCTAGCATTTACCAAATTCCAAAAAGATGGAACACAGAATTATGTTTAAATTGCGTGAACTCAATGAATGATCAGGATTTTAGAAGCAGAAGCAGATGAAAATAAGTAAAACAAAGAATCGCCACTGAGAGTCTGAGATAGACAATTATCAAAGGCCCAACCTAATGACAATCCGGAACTCAGTATCTATTATCAACAAACTAGGTGTCATGGGTCCATGTACAAGCCCACGTTTGAATGTTATTTAAAAGCCTGCAAAAATCAATGATCAGACCCAGTCCAACTAGAATTAGTCCTAAACGCAGCGTTAATACATAAACACAAATTAAGGAGACCTCTCCATCTGATTCGAATCAAATTAGGTCTTCTTCATCTCCTTCCTCAATCATCTGGGCGAGACGAACACTGCATATCAGGAAACCTTAATTTCACCGAGTGATAGAAGTTTCGAGAAAATGACAATAACGATAAGACAAGATGACAAAGCACTAGCGACATGAACCCTAGGGTTAGCAAATCTCTTTCAAGGGTTCTTTTGCAAACGAAAAGTTTGATGAACACAATAATAGACATGGTCGCCGTAATCGTGTTAGAAAGAGAAAGGCGAGTAAATTCCGCACGGAAATAAAATGGCGATGAACAAAACGTCGATTTGTGGATAAAAGGATTTGGGGTTCTAAACGATGATTATGTGAGGATTTCATATTGGATGGGGATCTTCTCTTCGAATGTGGATACATAGATTTGGCGTATGAAACATGATGATGTTGGGGATTTGAGATTGGATAGGGAGCTAAATCGAATGTGGATCAAATAATAAAAGGATTTGGGTTTTGAAACGATGATTTTGTTGGAGATTTCAGATTTGATAGGCAGCTTATGATCGAACTTCGAACTTAGAGTTAGAGGGGACCCTCCAAGGCGAATGAGGGATCGTAGAAGGGAGACTGGAAATTGGTTAGGGCGGCGGGTCGTATCCATAGGGTTTAACCTCTTAATCGCTATCATTAAACCGGGTACAGTTAGGTTGAAGTCCGTAGAAGTCACCATAAACGCTTCGTGATGCATTTGGTAATTTTCCTTGCCCCCGGTCACCGGTACCCCGGATTTTGCCCTGGGCACCGTAGAACTGCCCATATATATATATATATATATATATATATATATTAGGGAGAATCGAAATTACTTGAGAAGCACAACTATGGATTAGACCTTTTGAAAAGAAAGAGATCGTGTTGATAACATATTATCAAATAATAGGGAAGAGGAGCATACACAAGAGTAAGAGTATGAAGAGGAAAAGACTCAAAGAGAGGAAAACAAAACTTTCTTATTCATGTGTTCCTTAGTACAAGAAAGACCTCTATTTATATAAATGCATCATATTACCTCTACATTCTTACAATCAATATACATGAATGTGAGCAATGAATGGAAATTTAAAATAGGATGAGTGATTCGGGTCCAAATGTACACATTTTGCCCCTCATTTCTTGATATTTTGACTTTGCATTTCATCGTTCCTCGACATATTTCACGCTAGGTTGTGCTTTTTTTAATACATTTAAGGTCATAGCACGTGTGGAAGGGTCGATGACGAGTTTCGAGATAATTGGAGGTCAAAAAGCGCAAAAATCGAAGAAAAGTCAGAAGTACCGTGACAATTGTCCCGTAACAGTGAAGCGCAAGCGCCCAGGAAACAACCTCATTTCAAGGTCTCCAAAGACCGTGAACTTGGAGAAAAACCGTGAACACCGAGGTGTCCAGCATGGTTCCAGAAGTTACTGACGACAAGGCAGTTCACGGTCTCTAAGACCATGAAATTGGAGCACAAACTGTGAACCCAGGAAAGTGAAGTGGTGTGTTTTGGACGACACTGAGTTCACGGGCGCGTTTAGGTGTTCACGGTCGTGAATTGGCCAACGCGGCCGTGAACTGGTCACTTTCGGGCAAATATGAAGATAACAGCGGGAAGACAAAAAAGGGGAGATGGTTTTTGGAGATAAATTCAATTCCCTCTCTAGGGTTTTGCCCAAAACACAAAAGGGGAGTTCTAGTGAGAGAGAGAGAGAGAGAGTACTAGAGTGATCTTGGAGCTTAATTGGAGGCTTGGGTGGATCTTGAAGACAATGATTCAAGCCTAGAAGAAGAAAAAAAGATCTTGAATTCAAATTTGTAATCCCTCACTTCTCTCTCTAAAAACCGACCCTCTTCTCTTGGTGAAAAACCCTAGGTCTAGATTTTGATTTGTTGTTGATGTATGTGACACAATCCACGTTTGATTGATGATTTTACTTAATTGATGGATGTTTTCATGAATGGCATGAGTTGGGTTTCCATTTTCATGTATTGAGCTTTTGACCTAGGAGGGAGATAATCCCCTTAGAGCCCCTTTTGGTGTCTTCGGGTCACTCCTATCGTATATTGTCCGGGTAGTTCCCGAGGGATTTGATTCGACCAGTCTCCTAGCATTATACGAAACCCTAGGTTGATAGAGCACTACCCATCCATCGATTCGCCATTCCGGGTCACTCCCGAGGGAGTCCATCTCCAAACGGTAGTGTATTTGAGTCGATCGAGCTAGGAGGATACCCAACATCGATCCGAAGAACGGACCTAGGACGATTCAACCCAAGAGAGCTCCAAACCTTGTAAATAGCTAGGTTAGTGGTTAGTATAGGTTAGTTAGCTTAGTTTCATTAATCACTATCCTAGGATTGGCTAGATAACGAACCCTAAACCTGAAGTAGGGTAAGCCTAGATCCTCGTGGTACGATAAATTCTTATTGCTTGCTTGCCATATGCTACACCCGGTCGTCGATTATACTTGGCCGTCGATTGGGATATTGTAGTTAGAACGAGTCAATGAGGGGTTACATGTAATACCCAATAATGCATCTAATGTATGCCTCTAATATGGTAAATGGTCATCTATATAGAAATGAATACTTACATAATACTTTAATCAATAACTACTCATTATGATATTTCTCCTTTACTTTCCTATTTGAGGTCGAGCGAGAGAGGACTAAAGATGTAAAATCAACGTTGATGAATAATAACTCATATTAGAATATTTCTGCATGAATTTCCTATTTCAGCTCGAGCAAGAGATGAATAAATATGTTAAATCAAATACGGAAAAAGGACTATTAAAAGATTAGCACATATAATTAAAAAAATGATAAAAGAAATAAAAGGAAGGAAAAAAATGAAAAATATATGACCTTTTTTGAGAGTACCCTTGAAGTTCGTAAGAATTACGAAAAAAACATTGAATGAATAGTGGCGTGGAACCCATCTTTTATATATAAATAAAAAATTATGATTAGTTGATTTTGGTATTTTACCTGATAGAGAAAATTATAGAATAGAGTAATATTAATTATATGAAGATTCAGAAAGATCATAACAGGGTTGGGTACCACTCATCGAGTTGAAAGACAACAATGCTGCAATACGCTAGATAAACTGAGAAATGTGATGAAATTACTAATTAAATACGAAACAATAATAAAATTTAATAGTTTCTTGTAAGGAACATTATTGATGCAAAGTATTATTATGCTGGTAAGGCTATATGCTTGATGTTGAGAACGTATCTCTTTTTTGTCTATTAGTTCTTAGAGAAGTAACTAAACGTATTTTTGTTTATTGTTGTCAACGTCTAGGATTCTCACAATTACCCAATAGTTTAGATTTTTTTCTGTTGTGGTTGTATCTTAGTTGTCACAATTTCGCTGCAACCACAACAACAACAAAAATGGTAATAATATTAGAGTACGAGTACTAATATGTAATTTGTTAATAGTCATATTCCGTATTAGTTTGGGTTTGGCAAAATACACTTGTATAGCCAAAACTTTCACGTTTGTGTCAATAATAGCCAAATTTGCCGAAATACCACTTATAGCCACTTCCGTCCAATTCTTTAACGTTGTTAACGTTAAGTGTGACTGGGCAAACGACACGGCTTACGTGGCAAGCCACATGGGCATTTTTTGTCCAAAATCATACCAGGTGGAAATTGGATTTTCTTATTATTATTAAATTAATGAAAAAAGAAGGAAATATCATTTATTTCTCTCTGAAATCCAAAGTTCAAACACTGTGGAAAACAAAAAAAAATCCCAAATCCCTCTGCTATCCTCCTCCATCGTCACAAATCTCCCCTGCCGCATCATCCTCTTAGCCGACAATCCACCGCTCCGACGCCACCGCACTGTCAATCCAACTCAGCATCCTCTATACGCCATCGTGCCACTTTGTCTTCTCGTCGACCACCGCCAACTCACCACTCATCACTTCGAGCTTCAAGCCTAAAGAACCCTAGCCAAACCGATGTCTTTAGACCACCACAAACGTATCCCCACCGATGGCCCCAATAAACCCCCTCGGACTGAGCGCTGGCGGTGGCGAGCGGGTTATAAGCGACCGTTTCAGATCCTCCCATGATATATTCTTCGATGTGTTCTGGATTCAACAACGCAAATCTGGGTTTGAAAAGGGAGAACTGCGTGGAGATGAGTTGGGTGAAATCTATTTTCTATTTCGCCGGGTTCCCACTCGGTGCCCCGCTGGAGAGCTTGCTGGACAGGACAATTTCCGCAGGGCAAAATGGATTCTCTACTTCGCCGGGTTCACCCCTCTCGTCACCATCTACGTCGCCGCCTTCTACACAAGGATCGTCGGCGCCGCCATTACCGGGCAATGTTACACAGTATTGAATATGGTTTTTATGGGTCGCCCACTTCAATTCGCTTCCTCGGTTTTTCATACATAACGATTTCTGATTTGTGGGCGGTTAATTTTTTGGTGGAATTTGAGGAGGAGAAGTATTGGGAAGCACACTTGGGGTAAGTTGTGCCTCTGATGACTCCGAAGTTCTACCTGGTCCTTGGAGGGTGTATAGAGGAGATGCCGTGAAGTCCAACAATTAGAAAATTTATGGTCTTGGAACTATTTTGAGATATTAATTTGGGGAAGGAGTAGAGGATTCACTCGTGGGGGAATGGAAAAGTTGGAAAGAACCCTAAAATTGAATTTGGGGAAAATTTGGGGAAGATGGGTTGTGCAGATGGGGAATATGAGGGTAATTTAAAAAAATATATTATTTATAATTATTAAATAATTGAAATATATGACGTGTCACTATTTTCTTATGTAGCGCTGATGTGTCCGTTGAGTTGGCGCCTAATCAGCAAATTGTCAAATAAGTTGACGGTGTGAATGACACCGTTAAAGTATCTAACGAAAATGGCTATATTTGTCATACAACAACTCTAAAAGCTGGCTATAATTGGTATTTCGACAAATTTGGCTATTATTGGCACAAACCTAAAAGTTTTGGCTATGCAAGTGTATTTTGCCTTTGGGTTTCCATGTCAGAGTCTCAAAAAGAATGTGTTTTAAGTATTAGGGTTATAATGAGAGTAGGTCATTGTAATCTTTATATAAACTGGTGTCAGACTGTCAATAATAATACACAATAGTGTCCATCGAATTCTGATTTACCAACAACTAACGGGTCCTTTGCTTCATGGATTTGAAAAATGAGGATTTTGGTAAATTTTGGGTTTTGGAAAACCATAAATATATGATGGATTTGGTGACATTATGGATTTGAACAAGTCTATTATTTGCTTGTTGGATTTTGTTTGATTAGAATTATGGATATGAAGTACAAACTATCTTGTTACCCTTATCTAATTACAAGTCTATTCTTACACATTTATATTTAAATGAAATATGATACTACAAAACGAAATGATAAATTTTCATATTTATAAAATGTGACATTATAAAAGTTTATAGTTTCATAACCATTGAAATAAAGTAGGACAAATTTGAAATTAAAGAAAAATGTAAGGGTAGATAGGTAATTTACCATCACGACTTTTAATCCATCACACAAATCCCACCTCAAGAGGTGGAACTTCCAAGTCCGTGGGGTCCACGGATTTGGAACCCCAAAAGAGGTGGGCCCCACAGATTCCATCTCCCTAATTCCCTAAGGAAAACGATGGATTTCGGTTCAAGTCCATAATGGATAGATTTCCATGAGCAAATCCATCATCAAAACTCTCAAGCAAACTATAAATGGGGCCTTGCGGTAACCTTACGTCATTTTCTAAGTGCACGATACATGTCAATTATTGTCCTCTACCTAGTTTGTTATCTTTAGGACGAGACTTTGGAACACATATATTTTACTTGCCCATTAGCTACTCGACTATGAAAAACGGTAGAGTTGGATTATATACTCAATCACACCACACACGAAAATTTCAACACTTGGGGGTCGTTTGGATATGATAATTTAGTGTGGTAATTGGGCTCAATTGCCACAATATGCAGTAATTGGGTTCAATTACCATGTTTGGTTGTCAAAAAAATTTATGGAAATTGAATAATGGAATTTGGGCCAATTACCACAAATGTGGAAATCCAAAATACAACCCCCCACCCCCCGCATTTCCAATTCCCACGTTTAAAGACTTTTTATTTCCAATTGGGCCCCTGCTGTTTTACATAAACCCAAGATTAACCCTTTCTTATTTCAATGGTTATTTGCTCCGTTCGTGTTTTCTATCTTCTTCCTTTTGCTTCGTCCCTGCAATCGATACAAAGATAAGCAAAAATCTCCTCCGATCAGCAATCAGTTAGGAAGCGAGTTTGAGCCTTTGCTCGTCGACAAAATGATGGTGGTCAATGATTCTGAAGAAGTGAACGCTCTTCTAATTAGCAATCATGGAGGCAGAAGTTCTGGTATGCTCCCCGAAACTTGGATCTGACTGGCGATGCAAATGAATTTGCAAGCAATTGAAGTCTTTGATCTCTGATTTCGTTCATCGTTTTGTTTGTCGACGTCGTATCGAACATCTCTGACATTATTTCCCCCCCCCCCCCCCACCCACCCCCCCCCCCCCCCCGAGTTTGTTGATCTCCTCCCTTGACGCCCCTGATTGGTTCCTTTAGTCAGATCTGATTCCAAACAAGTCTCAAAATGTCGCGAGAGAGTTTCATCTTTTAATTGTTATTCTTCCTAATCTATGTTTTTGTATAGTTTATCATATGAAGTTGCAAGAGAGTTATGTAAAATGTAAATTGCATAACTGAATGTTGTGGCTGCGTTGAGTGGTATACTCTGTTGCTAAAAAAATATCAACATGTATAACTAATGAGGGAGGGTATTTTTGTATTTCCTTAAAATTCCACACTACCAATTTCAACAAAATGTAAACCTTTCCAAACGTGGATTTTTTTCCAATTTCCACATACCAATTCCTAGGTTTTGTAAAACGTGGAAATTGAGACAAATTCCTACATTTTCAAATTTCCACATCCAAACGACTAGGGGTGGCTAAACGGTCCGGTCCGGTTAAATTGACCCAAATTGATCCGGTCCAGTCCGGTTTTTTTGATTATATAAGGACCGAAGATTGGATTGGATACAGTCCGGTCTTGCCCGGTCCGGTCCCAATTCGGTCTTGATTTTATATTGAGATTGTGGGAATTTGAGTGGCCTAAGGCCTAATAGGGCGAGGAGTTGGTTAAGTTTTGTACTAAGTGCAAAGGTTTGTGACCGTTTATGCAAATTACCTTTAAGTTTTGGGTGTTGAGCTCTCTTATCCGGTTTTTTACCTCAAATCTAAGCCCAAAGATTGGATTGGATTGTTTACGATCCGGTCCCGGTCCGGTCTCGGTCCGGATTATACGGTCCGGTTTCCGGTTTTTCATCCGGTCCCGGTCTAAATAGCCAGCCCTACAAACGACCCTGGTGTCTGAGACTAATGTACTTGATGTACAACCCATTATAGATTCTCTAAGTTGTTTGCTTACTGTGGTGAATCTGAAAATCCGGTAACACATTAGTTTTTAAAGATACTTAACTATTCCCCTCTGTCCTCACTTTTCAATTCGCTAAACAAGTGCAAAATTTCTTGTTTACAAATAATTTTCCTCCTTATCCACCTTGGTTCCTCCCTACAGTGCCTACAATATTATATCCTCCACCAAGCCGCCTCAAACTCAATTTGGTATTCGATACAAGAAATATGCCTTTGTTTGGTTCGGGTTTTAGAAGTAGTTTTCGACTTCAAAAGTCGAAGCAAGGCCAAATACCTCTAAAAGTCCGACTTTTAAAATCCGAAAACTACTTTTGTATAAGATCAAAGTGGAAGCTCCGATTTGTAGTTTCTGCGAAAAACTGGTTTGAAAATACAAGATTATCCTCACCATATTTTAATTTTATTTTTTTAAAATATAATTTTCTTTCATTTATATATTTTTAAAAATAAATTTAATTATAAAATCATATTATTTAATATAAAAGAAATCTAATAAGATTCATTTTGTCTACTTTTTATTGTTTAGAATTTTGATTCGTATTTTATATTATAAATCCTTTATAGTAATTTTACATACCCTCTTATATTAAAAAGTAATTCAAATAGTTTTTTTCAGCCAAAAACTTACCTGCTTTTTCTTAAAAGAATTCTCTAAAAATTCCAGCTAGAAGTTGCTTCTGCAAATGCTATAGCTGAGCCAAATTAGCCCTATATAGATTGAGAATTGGCATTGGGAATTTTCCAGTTGGATTCATTCATTGTATGATTAATCATTAAAAATAATAGGCAAAATACACTTGGATAACCATAACTATCCACTTTTTGACAATAATAACCACTTTTTAAAAAATAAACAGATATATTCACACTTTTTAAATTTATTTGACAAATTTAGTCATTTTCGTCACATACTTTAACGACTCCGTCAGTTAAACAGACGTTAAGTGACTCACTCCTACTGTCACTCTAGAAAATGGCCAAGTGTAACCACTTCCTAAAGCGTAGTATAGAGGGTTTGGGTTTTAATGTCAATTCGGGTCCTAGATATGATGACTACTCAGTGAATTCGTATTATCTAGCAATGAAACTTTAGTGAAGATCTAAACTAACAAACAAGCAAAGCAACTAAACGGTTGTTTTCAGGTCAAGAGAGGTCACCCGGATATGGTTCCCCCTAGACTGCAGTTAAGCCGGATTGCAATTTACCAAGTTCAATTTCTATGATAGTTATACTGCGGAAGGTTCTCAAACAGTCTGAAGTCTCGACTAAAGGTCTCCAGACCCTCTCAATCTGAGTCTCTAGCGGGCGACTAACCTCCACCGGAGTAAACAGATTGAGGCCCTAACGAACAAAACCTCCTCTACCGAAGTAACTTCGGTACAGAATAGTGAATTGGCTCCTCGACTAAAGTCACCAATTCACTACCTTCAATTAAGGGTGCTATATCAACCTAGGCAGATATTCTCATTCTAGGTTAAAGCAGAAACAACAGGAATTTGATCAGGATTCATGCCATTCAATCATTCAAACCTCAATTGAATATAATCAAATCATAGAATCAGTACTTGGGTTCATACAATCAAACCTAACATACAAATCTAGGGTTTCCCATACCCAGATGAATGGGAGAACTACTCCATGGAGAAAGAGGCAAAAGCAGATTCAGACGCGGAAATGATACTGTGAAGGATGGATTTCTGCTCCTGGACGTTGATCGGCACTCCTCCAAGCTCAAGCCAAGCTCCAATGGTGATGAAGATCAAGCTAGGGCACTTGGGAACTCTTGTTCGTCGCTTTCTCTCTCTAGGAATCGCTCTGTCTCTCTAAAACTCGAATCCCCTTCTCTTTTGGCTGAAATCTGCCTAAAAGGGCATCACTGGGCAAAACACGGTCGAGGACGCGGCCGTGCTTTGCTCCAGCCCGCCCGTGCCC